CATCATCATCATCATCATCATCAACAACATCATCATCCTCGGGACACCATCATCGTCATCATCATCGGGCCACCATCACCATCATCATCTCATCATCATCATCATGAACAGCATCATCAACATCATCATCGTCGGGACACCATCATCATCAGCAACATCATCATCATCATCATCACCATCATCTTTATCGTGACACACCATCATCACCATCGACATCCGCATCATCATTATCATCGGGCCACCACCATCAAAGTCATCATAAGCAGCTCATCATCATCCTCATCATCAACATCATCATCATCATCACCGGGACACCATCATCGTCATCATCATCAACATCATCATCATCATCCTCATCATCGGGACAACATCATCATCATCATCATCATCATCATCATCATCATCATCATCATCATCATCATCATCATCATCATCTTCTTTATCATCATCACTATCATCATCATCAACAACAACAGCATCATCATCAACCTCAACATCACCATCATCATCGGGACACCATCATCGTTGTCATCATCAACATCATCATCATTTCATCTCATCTTATCATCATAAGGATCATCATCATCATCATCATTGGGACACAATCATCATCTTCATCAGAAACATCAGCATCATCATCATCATCAGCATCATCATCATCATCATCATCATCATCGGGACACCATCATCATCACCAAAATGGCCATCAACATCATCATCATCATCATCATCATCATCATCATCATCGTCAACATCGTCATCATCATCATCAGCATCATCATCATCATCGGGACACCATCATCATCACCACAATCACCATCATCACCATCACCATCATCAACATCATCATCATCATCATTCATCATCATCATCATCATCATCATCATCATCATCATCATCATCATCATCATCATCATCATCATCATCATCATCATCATCATCATCATCATCATCATCATCATCATCATCATCATCATCGGGACACCGACGGGACACCGACGGGACACCGGCGGGACACCGCGGGCCACCGGCCGCCCGGAAGGGAGACATTTGGTCCGGCCGCGCCTCAGCCACAGGAGACTTTCTCTCGCCCGCCCACGCAGCTTCGCCTCGCCCGCCGCACGGCACGCACGAACACGAAACCGAAATCGATTTCCCGGTAGGGGGGCTCTCCGTTCCACTTCGATCTCACCCCCTCACCTCCGATATATATATATATATATGTACTAGAACCATCGCGCGCGCTTCGCGCGCTCTCAGGTTCTAGCCCAGGCTGGGAGGGGCGCTAGCAGATCTTGGACAGCGCCATCAAGCACAGGCGCGTGACATAGTCGTGCCTCCTGAGGGCATATTGGGAATCTCGTGGGTCTTCGCGGGGGCATCTGAAGGGCTTCTGGGGGGTTCTCCGTGCTTCCTCAATTGACTGTTGGAAGCATCTCTTTGATGCTTCTTTGGGGGGGCGTCTTGGGGCTTCTTGGGGTCCTCGGGGGATCTCTTGGAGCTTTCTTGTGGTCCTAGTGGGCTGGGCATTGGATGTCTTGAGCCTATCTCAGACTATGTCAGCACCATCTGGGCCGTCTTGGGGGGGCTCTTCGAGGCCTCCTCAAGCCTCCAGGCGCTACGTGCCGCGTCTCGGGCACCGTCCTGGGCGCTCCCTGGGCCGCTCGGGAGAGCGTCGGAGGCCCGGAGCCCCCAAGCGCTGTCGGGGCCCCTCTTTTGGAGGCCCCTGGCCCTGTATTCGGGAACGTCCGCCCGCCCCCTTGCGGGGCCACCAGGCTGTAGGCCGGGAACGTGCTGCTCCCAGTACCAGTTGCAGCTTCCAGGTTCCACTGCTACAGTTCTGCTTCTTGCTGCTTACTGTTCCTTGTTGATGAACGCGCGAGGGGGAGGGAGCCCAAACCATCAGAACTACCACGCCCTGGGAGGGTTCTCAGAATCCCACCAGCCCTCTGGGCGTAGGTGGTCTAGAACAGATCCTCTTCCACCCCTCCCTCTTCCCCCTTGGGGAGGGGTTTACCCCTCCCCCTACCCCCTCCCCTGGACCTGGACGGGGGGGGCCGCTGGTAGTTAGAGCGTCCCAGATGGCCCAAGACGGCTCCAAGAGCGCCTCAGAGAACCCAAGATGAGCTCCAAGATGGCTCAAGATAGCGCAAGATCGCTCGAGATGGCTCCTAAGATGGTTCCAAGAAGCCCAAAGACGGCCCCAAGATAACTCCAAGTGGCCAAACAGCTCCCCAAGGAGGCCCCGAAGAGGCCAAAATCGTCCCAAAACCTAAGGAAAATCAATGATTTTTGCTTTCTCGCCTTTTCGCTTCCGATGGCCATCCGAGGCCTGGAGATGGTTCCAAGATGGCCCAAGAGGGCCCCAAGAGAGCCCCAAAAGAGCCCCAAGACGGCCCCAAGAGCGCCCAAGAGCACTCCAAGAGCGTTCCAAGAGGGGTCCAAGAGGCGATTTTAGGGGCTTCCGAGGGGGGGCGCTAATTCACCCCCCCCTCTTGTTTGATCGACTCCCTCCAAGATGGCCCCAAGAAGCGCCCAGGAAGCCCCAAGAGGTCCCAAGATGGCCCCAAAATGGCCCCAAGAGGCCCCCAAGAGGCCCCCCGGAGGCCCCCAAGAGACCCCCAAGAGGCCCCAAGAGCCCCCCCAGATGCACCCAAGATGCTCCAAGAGGCCTCGGCGAGAATGCCTAATCATTGATTCTACACAGGTTTTAGCCACATGGAGGCCTCTTGGGGGGGGGCACGGATTAAGATGACTCCAAGAGCGTCTGGGAGAGCCCAAAATGACCTCCAAGATGGCTCAAGATATCCCAAGATGTCTCATAATGGCTTCCTCTGTGTGCTGCCCACTTCTCTGATCGAGGCAATTCCTCTGGGCATCGTTTCTGGATGGGCTGGTGGGGATTCGCGAAGCGACAACAATTTCTGGGGGTGTAAAAACTCACACCCCTCACGCAGATCCGCAGGGTCAGGGTCCAAAAACACAAGGGATTTGCCAATTGTTTTAACTTCAGTGGCACCCCTCACGCAGACACCCCTGACGCAGATCGGCGGGGTCAGGGTCCAAGAACACAAAGGATTTGCCACATGTCTGAAATTCGGTATCACCCCTCACGCAGATCGGCGGGGTCAGGGTCAAAAAACACATGGGATTTGCCACATTCCTGAAATCCGGTGGCACCCCTCACGCAGATCGGCGGGGTCAGGGTCCAAGAACACATGAGATTTGCCATTCCTGAAATCCGGTGGCACCCCTCACGCAGATCGGCAGGGTCAGGGTCCAAAAACATAAGGAATTTCCAACACTTCGGAAATTCGGTGGCACCCCTCACGCAGATCGGCGGGGTCAGGGTCCAAAAACACAAGGGATGTGTCACATTTCTCAAATCAGGTGGCACCCCTCACGGAGATCGGCGGGCCAGGGTCCAAAAACACATGGGATTTGCAACATTTCTGAAATTCGGCGGCGAATAATACCACACGAGGCTCCAAGAGGCGCCCAAACCGCCTCCAAGAGGCCCCCAACTGGCTCCCCACGACACCCCAACACATATGCAAGAGGCATCAGACCCACAATCCAGGCACGGTGGCGGGATGGGCCGAATGCTAACGTCTCAGTATCCGCTGATGATTCCTATCCGCCCCCGCATGATGCTCCCACATGCGGCAAGGCAGCACCGAGACGCACCGACGCGACTCTGATAAATCCGATTGTAATAGAGTGGTCCGGCGGCAGGGGACGAAGCCCTTACGGATACATGTATATATATATACATATATACACACACGTATGCATACATACATACATACATACATACATACATACATACATGCATGCATGCATGCATGCATGCATGCATACATACATACATACATACCTACATACATAAATACCTACATACATACATGCATGCATACATGCATGCATGCATGCATGCATACACACATACACGCATACCTACATACATATATACATACATACATATATGCATACGTATACATACCTACATGCATGCATGCATGCATACATACGTACACACATACACACACACATATACATACATACATACATACATACATACATACATACAGACAGACAGACAGACAGACAGACAGACGGACAGACAGACAGACAGACAGACATACATGCATGCATGCATGCATGCATGCATGCATACATATATATATATATACATACCAGCATACAAGCCGATATGCATATATTTATAAACGTGCATACATACATATACATATACATACACATGAATATATATATATATATATACACACACGAGGGGGCGATGTCCAGCAAAAAGACGCTTAGCAACCGCGGGGGTGGGGGGCGAAAAGAGGGAGCCGCCCCCCGTGCAATAAAATCTGTTGGGCCTCATCACCATCCTTCCTCACTGTTCATCAGCATCATCAGCAGCAGCATCAACAGCAAGATCAGTGGATTCATTATTGCCATCATCATCCTCGTCATCAGAATCATCATCAGCAGCATCATTTTCATCATCATCACCATCATCATCATCCACATCATCATCATCAGCATCATCAACATCATAGTTCATGACCAGCATCATCAGAATCATTATCAGTAACATCACCACCACCACCACCACCACCACCATCATCATCATCATCATCATCATCATCAACATCAGCATCATCAGCATCATCATCACAAGCACCGTCAGCATCGTCAGTATCAGCAGCAGCAAGAGCATCGTCATAATCATCATCAGCATCAGCGTGACCATCATCTTTATCATCAGCACCATCATCATCATCAGCATCATTATCACTGTTAGCATCATCAGCATCAGTATCATTTTCAGCATCATCATCATCATCATCATCATCATCATCATCATCATCATCATCATCATCATCATCGTCGTCATCGTCATCATCGTCATCATCATCCCTACCATACCCAGCCATCCCTCTTCGCACTCGCCTCCCTCCCCATCATCTCTCCTCTTCCCCGCGGCCGACCGCGCTCAACGCCCTAGCGCGACGCGCCGCGCCAGCCAGAAGCAGCGCCGCCGCCTCTCGAGGTGCAGAGGGTGGAGGAAGAGAAGGAGGAGGCAGAGGAGGAGGGGGAGGGGGAGAAAGAAGCGCGAGAGGGGGAGGAGCAGGAGGAGAAACCGGGGAGGAGGAGGAGGAACCGGAGAGGAGGAGGAGGAGATGCGTCGGCTTACGATCAAAGAGCTCTGGATGTGCGAAGCCCGCGTTCGCCGCCTGAGGAGGAGGAGGGGGAGAAAGAGGAGATGGCGACGATGATGTGGATGACGACGGTGGGGACGGTGTCGACGACGACGACGGTAATGGTGATCAAGCTGATGGTGATGATATCGACGAGACGCCAATGACGCTGGGAAGGAAACGGGGAGAAAGACGACGAGCCATTCGGACTCGTCTGGTCTGTCCTGTGGTGTTTTCTTTGCCTCCTCGCACGGAGCCTTCACTCGGCCAAGTCCTTGAGGAGGCCGAAAGCCGGTAGCACAACATCCTGCGGAGAAAAAAACCTTGAGCGGCTTCCCCTTCACGCACAATGCTGACCACTGAACCACGGCGGCGCAGGGGCCAGCATATTGCCTGCTGGGTGCAGTGCCGACACCCGCCCACCACCACCATCCTACGCAAAAACAATGCAAAATTCACTTGCACAAAATCTGGCTGATGCGCCGACGCCCCGGGCTCACATTGCATTGGCTATTGACTCACCATCCCTTTAAACAAAAATACAAAATACATTTGCCAGGGACGGAGGGGGGGAGCTGCATGCTGCCTGCTGCGCGCAGGTGCACCAATCCTATAGAACAAAAAAAACCGGATGATGATGAACGCACACACGCACACAATATGCAATGCTCGCGAACCCGCCGTCAGGTGCATTGGTTTTTGACAAGGACGGTGGAAGGGTCGACACATTGCTCAGTGTGGCGCACCTAGCGCGCGTGGCACACCTGGCATGTGCGGCGCACTTTCGCGCACCTGGCTGGCGTTTGCTTGGGTTCCCCATGGTTGTCGATGGCGGCCCCTGTCCATGCTGAGACTCGGGTGCTGGGCGGGTGATAATGAGCGAGACGGTTGATTGTTGCCCTCTGTCGTGAGCAGGCCTACCCACGGACTCGACGGCGCCACGAACATGCAAATCCTGAAGCTCGTCTGCTCGGTCGGGAAGGTCACCAAGGACGGACTGGAAGAGGGGCCTGGCCACGGGCGCCAGGGCGAAGAAACCCGCGTTCGCGCCCCCCTGTCGCGGGCCCTTGGACCGTCCAGGGCAGTTGCGCCAAATGCGCCCCAGATTGCGACACCAGAAACATTTCGTTTGCGCCAGCATCTCCTCCGCGGTCATGTTCTTGTTGCCGATATTGTTTTTGAGCGACGTCCGAGCTCCTTCCCGCTTTCATTGTTCTTGCCTTTGCATGTGCCATTGTTCAGACCGAAGAAACCACGTGCGGCCCGGTTGGCCGCCGGCTCTCTTCGGACCTCCCCATATGAGTAGGCGCAGGCCGTCGATCGGGATTGGTGTCCCCCGTGCTCGTCGACCAGCCACTCACTATCGTCGTCTATCTAAATCGGGTCCTCGTTCTCGGGACCGTCATTCTCGTCATCTCTGATACCGCCTCCAGCTCCGCCGCTCACGGCGTCGCCCGAGGAGCCGCCACCGCCGTCGCCGTAGGTCGGGACATTATAACTCTGCTTGAAGATTCATCTGGCGCGCCAGCGCGGAGTCCAAGAGCGTGGCGGGTCAGTCCAGGCGCCGCAACGTCTCGGTCGCTTTGGCCAACCCCTGCGTGCTGTGTCGGCAGGTGGTAGTTGCGTCGTCTTTGTTATTCTCGCCAGGTGCTGCGTCATGGTGGCACCTCTCTCGCGGTCGCCCTGGAATTTCGTTTCCTCCATCGAGACATCCAGATCCATCTTCAGGTAGGCTGCGTACGCCATCTGGACCTGTGATCGCCGCGCCCCAGCCCGTCTCACTCATCAACAAAGCCTCTGGCACTTGGTCGGCTGCCAATTTCATCTCCGAGCCGATCGGCAAAGATTTGGATACCATCGCGCCGTGCTTGCGCTTTGGGACGATGGTGTCGTGATTCCAAATGGCCAGCAACTTCAGCCACGGCCGAAGGTTGGCCGTGGGTTCTCTCCGCCCAACGAGGGCACAGGGTCTCGATCTTTGTCCATCATATCTCGCTCGCGACGCTGCTATGGTGGCGCCCATCCAGCGTGCCGCTGACCCCACGGGTCCGTCTCCGGCTGCGTCTGTGCGGGCGCCGCGCCTGCGGCAGCCTGGGCGGGCACCGCGCCAGCTGCTGCCTGGGCGGGCACCGCGCCGGCGGCAACCTGGCGGCATCGCGGCCGCTGCTACTGCCCATGCGTCGCCCGCGGGCAAGCCGGACGGCGGCAGAAGCGGCGCTGCCTGCATGGGACCCGCCCACGGTGGGCCCGCGGCGCCGTAGGCCGCCTGAAGCGGCAGCGCCGCGCCCGGCGGGAGACCCGCGAAGGGCCACGCACCGGCGCGGGCTGCGCCGGCGGCGGCGGGACCCCCGGCGGTGTCCACGGGGCGGCTGGGGCCGCCGCTGCTCGCTCTGCGTTTCGTTCGTTGCCAGCTACTGCAGGCATGCGAAAGGTCGGGCTAGGGATCGAATTCGTCGCAAGGTCGGTGTCCAGGGTACGCCTTCTCTCTCTCTTTCTCTCTCTCTCTCTCTCTCTCTCTCTCTCTCTCTCTTTCTCTCGCTCTCTTCTCCTCTGTCACTCGCTCACAATGGCTGAGATGCTCAGCTGCCAGCTCGCCTCGTTCACTGACACTGAGGGTCCGCCCTCAGCGAACCTCCAATCGGCTGCCCGAAGAGTATGTCAACCACGCTCCGCGCTACCACTGAATATCACAATAGCAATAAAGACTGAGATGCGAAACTCCTCAGTAACCAAGGCTATGCCACGAGGGCCCTGGTCATGGGCTACAACGATTCAGGGCAGTCCAACCGAATCGAGACGGGGCACAGGGCACTTTCGCACCAGATCTGCAGGAGAGGGAGGAGGTGGAGGAGGAGCAGGCCAGAGCGAGGTGGAGGAGGCGGAGGGTAGAAGAGGCGACAGTCGCAGCGGCAGCATGAGCAGCACAGGACGCGCCGCTGTCGGGGCCCGGCAGCGGCGGGCGCGGAGGGGCCGCCGCGGAGGCATGGCGCCACGGGGTGCTCTGGCGCCAGCCTGCTGATATGGAGAACGCCCAGGGCGGCCCTCCTCGTGTTCCTCGTCGCCCACCTCTTAGTGGTCGTCCTCGTCCTCCTCCTGCCTCCTCCCTCCTCCCTCCTGCCTCGTCGTCGTTCTCCTCCTCCTCCTCCTCCTCCTCCTCCTCCTCCTCCTCCTCCTCCTCCTCCTCCTCATCCTCATCATCATCATCATCATCATCATCATCATCATCATCATCATCATCATCATCGTCATCATCATCATCATCATCATCATCATCATCATCATCATCATCATCATCATCATCGTCATCATCATCATCATCATCATCATCATCATCAGCATCTCATCATCATCATCATCATCATCATCAGCAGCAGCAGCAGCAGCAGAAGCAGCATCATAATCAGCATCAGCTTCATAATCATCATCATCATCATCATCATCATCATCATCATCATCCTCATCCTCATCATCATCACCGACAGCAACAACAGTAACAGCTACAGCTACAGCAACAGCAACAGCAACAACAGCAGCAGCAACAACAACAATTTTAAGACGGTTCGCTCATGTCCGATCGCGTGCCATACAAAATGCATATCCCAAACCCTGGATATCCGCCCTCTTCGTCTTCGATCGAACCCCTTTGGGGGGCTATATTCCCTCCCCACCACGTGTAGTTGGAAAGGCCACCAAACAAGAAAACGCAGGAGAATGAGAAAGGGAGATAATGAAAACGAAGGGATCAAAGGAAGGGAGGGAGGAGGGGAGGGCCAACAGGGAGGGAGGACGACGATTTGCGCCGCGAGTTGCGCTAAAATTTCCGCCATGGCTTGCGCCGGCCATTCCAACACAGGTGGACAATACACCGGACTCATTTCTATAGCGCTCACTTCTACAGTTCTCACTTTAAAATTGAGGTCTGGAAGGGGCCGCACATGCATGCACGCACATGCCGCACAGTCGCATGCACATGCCCATGCAACTCCGAAAAGGCCTCAATAGCATTGCCGCACCTGCGCGCACCTGCCGCATAGTCCGATGCACAGTCGGATGCAGTCTAGAACATCTCCGCAAGTATGAACGCACATGCCCACACATGCCGCAAAGTCAAAGACTCGGAGAGGCAGGGAAAGGTAAATGGGGAGGTAAAGTCAGGAGTAGAGGCTGGCGCTCGAGCAACAAGCACCATATCCAAATAAGGGATGTGGCAGGCGACAGCACCAATCCAACACAGGGATGTGGTCAGCGTTCGGATGATGTATCACGCGAGGATGTCGCAGGCGAAAATGACCTGGCCACCTCAACACATGGTATATCGGATCCGAGAGTTGCGACGATGTCTCAAGCGAAAGTGGCCCGACCACCATGGGCCATGGGGCAGGGCATCGCCGAGTTCAGAATTGCGACGACTATCGGGTGAAAACTGCCCGACCATCTCAGCTCAGGGCATACCGGGAGCCTGAGTCGCGGGAACGTCTCAAGCGAAACTGACCGGACCAACATGGGGCAGGGCATCTCCGAGGTCGGACTTGCGAGGATGTATCTGGCGAAAGTGGCCTGACCACCTCAGCTCAAGGCATATCGGAACCCAGAGCTGCGAAGATGTCTCAGGCGAAACTGGCCGGACCACCACGTGGCAGGGCACCTCCGAGTTCAGAGTTGCGGGGACGTCTCAAGAGAGACCGCCCTGACTTTCTCAGCTCAGGGCAGATCGGACGCCTGAGTTACGAGGATGTTTCAATCATTCTAAGACTGCTCGCTCTTATCTGCTCGAGTCTCTGTCAACGTGTATTTCCAAACCCTCGATACCCACGCCCTCTTCGTCTTCGCTCGTACCCCTTTTGGGGGGTATACCTGTCTTCCCTGCAGGCTGGGCCCCGGCAAGCGGCGGGGCGGCCGCGGACCTTCGGCCTGGCCAGCGGCAGCGCTGATCGGCGGCAGCCCGACCCCAGGAGGGACGGATAGGGGACCGACCACAACGACGACGACGACGACGACGACGACGACGACGACGACGACGGCGACGACGGCAACGACGGCAACGACGGCGACGACGAAGACGACGAGCGAAAGCGAGAGCGACAACGAGAGCCAGCGACAGCGGAGCCACGAAGGGCAGCGAGGGGGCCACGAAGGGCGACAGCGGGGCCACGAAGGGCATGCAGATGGGGCCACGACGGGCGCGAACGACCAGGGGCCACGAAAGGCATACATACATGGGGCCAGAAAGGGCGACAGCGGGGCCACTGAGGGCAGAAAAGGGGCCACGAAGGGCAGCGAGGGGGCCACAAAGGGCGACAGCGGGGCCACGAAGGGCACGCGTATGGGACCACGACGGGCGCGAACGACCGGGGGCCACGAAAGGCATATAATGCGGGGCCACAGAGGGCAGCGACGGGGCCGCTGAGGGCAGCAAAGGGGCCACAAAGGGCAACAGCGGGGCCACGAAGGGCATGCACAATTATGGGGCCGCGACGGGCGCGAACGAGCGAGGGCCACGAAGGGCATACGTATACTGGGCCGCAGAAGGCAAGGACGGGGCCACTGAGGGCAGCAAAGGGGCCGAGAAGGGCGGCCAGGGGGCCACGAATGGCGACAGTGGGGCTACGAAGCGCATGCATGTGGGGCCACGAAAAGCGCGAACGAGCGGGGGCCACGAAGGGCATACATATGGGGCCACGAAGGGCAGCGAAAGGGCCACGAAGGGCTCCCACGGGGCCACGAAGGGCAGCGAGGGGGCCACAAAGGGCTGCAACGGGGCCACGAAAGGCAGCGAAAGGGCCACGAAGGGCTCCAACGGGGCCACGAAGGGCAGCGAGGGGGCCACGGAGGGCTGCAACGGGGCCACGCACGGCAGCGAGGGGGCCACGAATGGCTGCAACGGGGCCACGAACGGCAGCGAGGGGGCCACGAAGGGCTGAAACGGGGCCACGAAGGGCAGCGAGGGGGCCACGAAGGGCTGCAACGGGGCCACGAAGGGCATGCATATGGGGCCACGACGGGCGCGAACGACCAGGGGCCACGAAGGGCATACATACATGGGGCCAGAAATGGGCCACGAAGGGCGACAGCGGGGCCACGAAGGGCACGCGTATGGGACCACGACGGGCGCGAACGACCGGGGGCCACGAAAGGCATATAATGCGGGGCCACAGAGGGCAGCGACGGGGCCGCTGAGGGCAGCAAAGGGGCCACGAAGGGCAGCGAGGGGGCCACAAAGGGCGACAGCGGGGCCACGAAGGGCATGCATATGGGGCCACGACGGGCGCGTGCGAGCGGGAACCACGAAGGGCAGTCGTATACGGGGTCACGGGGTCATAAAGGGCGACAGCGGGGCCACGGAGGGCAGCAAAGGGGCCACGAAGGGCAGCGAGGGGGTCACGAAGGGCGACAGCGGGGCCACGACGGGCGGGCGCGTGCGAGCGGGGGCCACGAAGGACATATAATGCGGGGCCACAAATGGCAGCGACGGGGCCACGATGGGCAGCGAGCGAAGGCGACCGCGGAACCAGCACGGGCAGCGAGGGGCATCGAAGCCGGGGGAAGGGCAGCGAGCGGCGACTGCAGTCCTTAACAGGCTGGTCGGGCGGGCAGGCCCCGACGGGCGGGTCGAGCGGGCGGGTCGTTGAAGCGTGAATCCTGCTTGAACCGCCTGGCAATATGTAGCGGGAGCGCGATTCCTGAGTGTCGGGGAGCGGCATTTGAATAACTTGTAAAGAGATATCAGCGAGACCACGAAGGGCAGAGTATGGGGCTACGACGGGCGCGTGCGACCGGGGGCCACGAAGGGCATATAATGCGGGGCCACAGAGGGCAGCGACGGGGCCGCTGAGGGCAGCACCGGGGCCACGAAAGGCAGCGAGGGGGCCACGAAGGGCTCCCACGGGGCCACGAACGGCAGTCGTATACGGGGTCACAAAGGGCGACAGCGGGGCCACTGAGGGCAGCAACGGGGCCACGAAGGGCAGCGAGCGAAGGCGACCGCAGAACCAGCACGGGCAGCGAGGGGCATCGAAGCCGGGGGAAGGGCAGCGAGCGGCGACTGCAGTCCTTAACAGGCTGGTCGGGCGGGCAGGCCCCGATGGGCGGATGGCGGGCGGGTCGTTGAAGCGTGAATCCTGCTTGAACCGCCTGGCAATATGTAGCGGAAGCGCAATTCCTGAGTGTCGAGGAGCGGCATCTGAATAAATTGTGAAGGCGTATCAAACGGGTTCCGCGGTACGGTGGTAAGTTGCGAGGAAGTCCCAAGCGAGAACGCGATTCTGCAATAAATTGTGAAGTATCCAGCGG